GGGGCTCCACAACGGCACTAAGGAGTTGGAAGTCCACTCTGAATTCAGAGCAGAAGTGGAGTCATGGTCCAAGCTGGCAACCTGCACAGCCCAGCTCTTCAGAAACCGCATCCCAGAGTGGCAAGACTTGAGGAAGCCAGGCGTGGTGGCACATGTCTCTAATCCCACAATTAGGGAGGCTGAAACAGGAGGCTGTGAGTTCAAGGCCAGCCTGAACTACAGCGAGACCCTGTATCAAAAATACAAAAACAAAATGACTAGGAGGAGATAAATATTTATCAGACTGCTAAGGCTTAAATCTAGATGCCCTCCCTCATAGGTGCAGCTTTGGGGAAGTGTTTGCACCATGGGTGTGTGATACTCAGCAGTGGATTAGTCCACCAATGAGTTCACAGCTAAATGTGACTTTGGGAGGTGGAGCCTGGTCAGAGGAGGAGGGCCCCTGGGGAATGGCCTGGAAGGGTACATCCCCCTCTGAGGTACCTCCCTTGATGCTCACAGCATCCCAGCTGCCACAGCTGAGCAGCCCTCTGCTATACTGCCCTGCTATGAGGCAGCTGAGGTGCTGGGTATTGTGTCTCAGCAATGAGAAACTGACTTAGACACAGATGACTAAGAGTGTATGTGGTCTGGGATGTATTCTCAGGAGTTGCACGTGTAGGCATTTACCATCACAGAGAACAATGAAAGTGTTTTTCAGCTCTAGAATTTCCACGTCTCAGTTGAAAGTCCTCATCTGTTCACCCACTGGGTTCATCTTTTCCTCTAGGTTACTTGACATATTTATCATTTTAAAGGCCATGTCTTCCAGTTCAAACATCTGGATCATCTGTTGTTCGAGTGACTTTTCTCATAATATAGGTCACAGATTGCTGCTTCTGTGGGATATATATATATATATATATGGATATGGATATGGATATATATATGCATATGTATATATATGTATATGTATATATGTTATATATATAACATATTTTTATATATATATTTTAAGCAGGCTGTTGTATATTAAAGAACTGAAAAGAGTAGACTAAAAGCTATTTCCATCTCCCAGAAAGGGTGCAATTTTTCCTGTCAGAGCCATATAGAGGGGCAAATCTCCTGTCTGAATCAGGTCTAAATAGTTTTGGGCCCCTCTAGATTCAAATATTTTAAAGGGGAGGTGTATTCCCTACTTCCAGCTGGGCTTTGGAATCCAAGCAACACAAATCCAGACTTATTTACTTTCCAGGCCAGTCCAGATTCCAGTGAAGTGACTATATCTCTGCTCCTTTCCCCCAGGTTTCCCATATTTTGGATGACAATGGACTCATCTGTATATAAACACACAGATCTTTGGGCCTAAAGCCCAAGGCTGCTCCCCCAAAGTTGACCACATACACAAACACGTGCATCCTGCAGCGATGTCCCTGCAGTCCTCCCAAGGCCTCAGGAGCCACCCATCAATCCAGTGAAGACCTCTTCGTTTCCCCAAAGAGCCTCCTGCCCATCTGACACTGTCCCCCAGGAAAACCCAAACCAAGCTCTCCTCTGAGGGTTCAGCCTACCGAGTAAAGCTTCAGGGAACTGAAAACATCTACAATAGTTGTGTTTGGTACTTACTTGCCTACCCTGCGTGAGTCCATTGTTAGCCCTGGCACCTTAGTGCCAAGTCTCTTCATTCTGTTAAACCTGAGCATGCTCTATTAAACCCTGTGTCCTGGTTCTCCCCACCCACTGCTCCCCTTGTCAATACTCTAGACTTGGACTGGTATCCAGATCTTGCACCTCCATCTCTGTGAGGCCACCCTAATGAAGGCTACAATCTCCAGAGCACAGTCCCTGCCAGGCAGGTATAACATGCACCTCACTATGTGCACCAAGCGTTCTAGGAACCAGGTACAGGAGCATCCCTAATTCAAAATCTCAAATGTTCTGAGATCTGAAGGGTACTGAGTGGGTTTTGGATTCAGAGCATTTCAGACTTTGAATTTTCAGATTAGGGATGTTCGACCACTAAAATCTGTGCAAACATCCCCAAGCCCAGAAAAACTCCAAAATCTAAAATACTTCTGGTCCCAAGTGTTACTGATACAGGATACTCGACCCGCACTATTAACAACCTATGTTACAGACAAGGCCTTCCTGTGTGGAAATGCAGGCTTCACCCTCTGGAACACGGCACATATAATCATTTAAACTATGCATATATAAGCACACGTATGTGTATATGTGTATTTATGTATTTACATATATATGCACATGTATAATATATAAAATAACAGGGTAGGGCCAGGGGTTTGGCTCAGTAGTTCTGCTGCCTGCCTCGAAAGTCCAAGGACCCAAGTTCAATCCTGGGTACCATAAACAAATAAATAAATGGGTAGTTTTTTTTTAACTTAGTGGATTCCAACTTTCACTGAAAACAAAACCCTCCACATTCTCATCGCAGGGTTGGTGGTACTTCCATCCAATAGTTAACTTTTCTTAAAATAATCGCAGGAAATGCTTCTAGAAATGTTTTCTTTAATTCAAAAGTGGAGGAAAGGGGCTGCAGGAAAAATTCCTGCTGTACTGTCAGAATAAACTGATGTTGTATTTACATATTCAGGGTACCATGATTTTCATGGTTTACTTAATGCTGCTTAATCTTTTTGAGTTTATATAAATGTTTCTTGAGTAGGCAACATAACTGCCTCAATGTCTTAAAGCAGCAATCAAAAGAAACCTGTGCAAATACAGCAGAATGCAGTCCCAGCTACTTGGGAGGCTGAGGCAGGAAAATCCCTTGAGCCCCAGAATTACAGACTAGCTGTAGCAACACAGTGAGACCCCACACACTAATCTCACAAAAAGAAAGCTTAGCATTTATAGCTTTAAAAGAGACAAAAGCTAAAGCCTTGTTTATTCCAAATGAAATTTAGAAAACAGAAAAGAATTTCTTGCTATAAAAATTTTCAGTACATTTGTATAAATCCTAATTGTTTTTCTTTATATATTTGGTTTTGTTAACATTTTGTAACCATACTAAAAGTTGCACAATTTAATGCTTCATGACATGCCACTCTAAATGTTATGTAAATATGCCACACCTGAAAATTTTTTTTTCACAGATTTGGGCAAGCACAAGGCCCTGAGTCAATTCCCAGTACCAAAAAAAAAAAAAAAAAATACAATACAGATTTGGGAAACCCACTTACTAAATAATCTCCAAGGAAAAGGAATCTGAATTTTTTAAGCTTACTCTGTGATTGACTGTAATACATTTAATTAATCTACCTAATAAATTAGCATATACTTCATTTGCTTAGTCTGCCACTGTCAATTACTGAATTGTTTCCACATTTTTTCTATTCTACAATCATAAATCTCCTTAAAGGTATCTCTCTGCATACAAACACAATTATTTTCTGATGGTTTGCTTTTTTAAAATACTGTAGTCAGGAGGAAACTATGGAGTAGCTGCAGCTCCACTAGTACCCACCCCACCACAGTCTAGGAATTGTAGAGAAGACTGGTAGACATTCAGAGCTGCCCTGGATATTCAAGAAGGGTCAATATAAAATTAGATTCCTAACAGAAACTCAAAAAGACATCTGCCTTCTCATACGGCTCCATAATCACTAAGTCCCCCTTGAGTCTATAGCCCCAAATTGCCTCCTACATCTTCTGCTGTTTAGTGCTGTTGTAAAGTTTACATTTGTCAGGGGTGTCACTCAGTGGTAGGGCACATGCTTAACATGGGTGAGGTGCTGGGTTTGATTCCCAGCAACACACACACACACACACACACAAAAGGTTCACATTTGTTAAGATATCTATTATACAACATGGTGACTATAGTTAGTAACAATATACTGTATACTTGAAAATCACTGATTTTAATGTTCTCACCACAAAAAAGATGGTAAATACATAAGGTAATTAGTGTTAATTAGCTTGATTTAGCCATTGTACAATGTATATATTTACCTATATATGCTTCAGTTCTGAAGATCGCTAACTACTCACAGGTATCTGCAGAGCAACAGGTTCAACTGCTGTGTCTCCATACTGATATCAGTTAATCAACATATAAAGTAAATGCATTCAAGCTCACTGAATATCAGGGCTTGCATTCTTAAGTTTAAGATCAAAATGCCACAAAGTCATCACCAAAGAAACCTTAAGCCAATATTTCTCAAACCAGCACCTGTGGACATACTTTCAGGGTTCTCTGAGGTTTTTCTCCCCTTAAAAGGAGTTTACAAGGTACTCAAAGTTGAGAACCACCGACTTACGAATGCAGACACCATGTTGTTTTTCTCTCCCGCCCAGCACCCAGCCCAGGATTGGCACTCAGCAGAAACTAAGCGACACATTTCTGCACCCAGGCACAGGGTTTAAGCCAGGCCTTCTTGTCACATTTGGACATCCCTAGAACGAAGAGAATCACTTCTCTGCCTTTTATCGTACTGATACGAACTGATATTCCGACCCCACTCTCTTTAAAGATAGCAAAAGGACAGGACCTAGGAATAGGAAATGCCTTAAGCAGCGTCACAGATCTGGTGAGTAGCAGAAACAATGATATCCTTTGCCAGCTATCCCAACCTCACTGCCAGTTCCCCCACAGCAGCTGCCTCCGCCGACCTTTAAGAACTGTGACTGGAGACCCCACAGACCTCATTACCGCCGCCGCCACCACTCTGTCCCATTTCCGCCCTCCCTGGTCCCCAATCTCCCTGTGTCCTTTCCAAGTCTGCCCCCCTCGCTGTACCCAAGGTCTTCACCGGCATACCCTCACCCCAACCCTACTGCTCCCCCTACAAAGATGCAAGCTAGCCGGCCGGGTTAGTTCAGTGGCAGAGTGTCAGCTTAACATGCAAGAGGCTCTGCGTTCCAGCCCTAGTACCGGGAAAAAAACCAAAAAACAAAAAACAAAAAACCTGAAATGATCCCACAAAACCCACTACTACAACTTCACCAGCGCCTTCAGCGCCCACGGAGTTGGCCCCAAGGCGCATGCACCACCCTAGGTCGGCGCACGTCAGTGACGTCACGCGCAGCGCCATCTCCGAGCTCTGAAAGTCTCCCACACTCCCGCTGCCCGCAAGCCCTGGCGAATCTTGACTAGGTCTACCTCACCGCCTTGGATTAAGGAGCCTTTCTAGCCGAAAGCATTTTTTCCTGTGATGCTGGCAACTGGATCCAGGGGCTTCGCAGAGCTACATCTCCAGCCCTTTTTAATTGTTTTTGAGACAGGGTCTCGCTGAATCGCTGTTGCCCAGGCTGAGCTTGAACCTGTGATCTTCTTAGATCGCACAGTAAACTGGGTTAACAAGCGTGAGCCTCCACGGCAGGCCTCCAGAGGAAACTTGACGAGAGAGACTCCTGGTGGCCGAGAACCGCTGATCAAAGTGAAGAGTCTGCAACGCGTGAGGACGACTTCATCCGAGCGCGCCGGAAGCGGGCCCACAATGAAGAGTAAGGGACGGTGCGAAGTTGGGGGGGGGGGGGCGGTTACGAAGGGTTGGAGACTTGATGTTGGTGGATAAAATGAGTCAGGGCTACCTGTCACTCCAGAGTCTTAACGGAACTCTATGGGAGTTGTTCCACCTTACTTAAAAGAAACAGACCCACAGTGCAGATCCGCAGACTCCGCCTCTGAGCGAGCAATGATGTCAGGAGACCCGACAAGCTCTCGTGGGGACTGCCCAGTGGTGTGTGATGCTAAAGGATAAAGGGTCAGAGCCCTGGCCGGACCTGGCCACTACATCCCTGCCCTCCTCTGCCACCTAATTTTCCACCTTTTGTCTCGTATAAAATTCTGAGAGTTGCTGGGAACGATATCACCCAAGGCTTTGTTATAGGAGCAGAGATGTGCCAAGGCTGAGAAGCAAGTACCAGAGTAGTATAGCCAGGGGAGTGTAGACCCTATAAAGACTGGACAGATCAGAATTTTGATTTCCACTCCTGCCGGTCCTTACTCCTTACCCTATACGACCAAGTTAAGTGATCAGCATATGTAAGCTTACCTTTCTTGTGAGTATAAGTAGGAATACCCACTGCAAAGGATTGTTTAGAATGTGTAATGAGAAAAATATGTAGCTTTCAATCAACTGCCTGACAAGAAATGAGTGTTCAGTAACTATTACGTGTGTACTGTTGGAGAAAGACTTCCAAGTCTGATGCTAGGCATCTATGACAAGGGAAGCAAAATCATTCCTGGGGTTCCTGCAAATTTCTCTCTACAAATAGATTTTTAATCCCCATTTTCCATGTGAGGACAACTAGACTCTTTATATGAAACTTGTGACGTGTGGTTTGCTTGATCAGACATGTACTGGAAATCACAAGAAAGGTGGGACAAAATGTGTAGAGTGTAGTGTGAAATAAATTTTCAAATTATTTGGTTCTTAAACCAAGCCCTTGGTCCCATTCTTATTTATTCATACCCCTGTCGTGTCTTCAGTGCCGGTTTTCTTCTTTAGAAAAATTAAGTACAAAGCAGAAGTGTGGATGTTTTTCGAGGTTGATACCACATTGATCAATATATATATATTTAGAATCTGAAAAATGACTGCTGCATTTTTTCAGTTCAGGACACCATCAATTATATAATATGTTCCAATTGCATGGATACTAACATGTGACAAATCTTTGTTTATTTTTCTATGGTACTAGGAGTTGAACCCCGGGCCTTTGGAATAAGCTGTGTCCCCAGCTCTTTTTATTGTTTTGAAACAGGGTCTGACAAAGTCACTAAGTTGCCCAACCTGGGCTTAAACTCATGATCCTTTTGCCTCAGCCTCCCATAGTGCTGGGATTACAAGCAGATGCCACCATACCCAGCTTGAAAAGCCTTTTTTAAACATTTGCAGTCAGCAAAATATATTTTTAGCGATCTTATCTTACAGCTGTATCATCTTTTTTTTTTTAACCTAACTTTTAAATGGGTTACTTCATTAGACTTAGTGTAATTGCTTAAGCTTCTAACTTATGGTATTTTAAAACAGAGCAACTTTTAAGTATGATTCATTTACCAGCAACAGCATCTAGGAATTTGTTAGAAATCCAGGATCTGAGCATAGGGACCAAAAATCTGTGGCTTAATAAGGTTTCTTTGGGCCGGGGATTTAGCTCAGTGGTTCTGGCTCCTGCCTCGCAAGCGCAAGGTCCCAAGTTCAATCCCCAGTACCAAAAAAAGAAAGATTTCTTTAAACACAGTCAAATGTGATAAGCATTCTTTTGTAAGCCACCTTTAGAACTGCTAATGTAGACATGGCCAGAGGGTGTACAGATACAAGGCATCCAAAAGGACTAGGGGTGTAGCTCAGTGTTAGAACACTTGTTTGGCATGCTTGAAGCCCTGAGTTTGATCCCCAGCACCACCAAAAAAAAATTTTTTTAAGGAGTCTAAGGAAGCATTTAAGCTTTGGTTTTTCATACCAGACCCATCTTCTACCTCTCAGTAAGCATACTCATTGTTTTGTTTTTTTTTTAGCATACTCATTTTTATAGTTAGAAAATCCATGGGCCGGCCAGGGATTTAGGTCAGTAGTTCTGTCGCCTGCCTTGCAACCACAAGGTCCTGAGTTCGATCCCTGGTACCAAAAAAAAAACAGAAAAGCCATGGGCCTTGTAGCCATACTCCACAGGAATTAATCATTTCTTCTTTCTTTAATCCCCCAGGTGTGATCTACCATACTTTTTCTCAAAAGGAAGCAAAAGAGTACGATGTTCAGGTACAGTCTTTGCAGGAAGTCTAGGAGCAACAAAGGTGCTGACAGAGATGCCTTAGTGGCATCTAAGCCTATAGTATTGGTTTTAACTGTTTTCTGCCATGTCTTACTCCTCACATTTCCAGTGAACCTTTTAGGCTCCATCAAGGTCTATGTTATACTGATGTTCCCAGATGCAACCTGCTTTCCTGTTGTCTCAGTCAGGTTTGATAAACTTGAACTCCTTGATTTTGTGTCATCTCCCACTATGGAGGGACACTAGGCCAGGCTCACCTGAAACCTGCCCTGATAAGCACCATCATTGGACCTCGTCACTCTGTCCCCTTCGCTCCTGAAAAAGGCACATAGATCACATTTCTTAAGTGGAACTTAGATTATGTTCTGTCACTTGGCCAAAATCTCCACTTGTGGCTCACAGTGAGTATTACCTTGAAGTCAAGGTTTTGAAATCAGGGTACTTTTATTTTGCTTTTCCATGAAAGAGACCTCTTACCTATTTAAAAGAATTAAATAATTGTGCTCTTATAATGATGCTGATGAATTCATTTTTAGTTAACATCTAACAATCCAGTGTTGAAACAGACATAGTTCTGCCATCCCTTCTGGGAGCTCCCTCAGAGATTATGCATATCATATCTTTTCATTCCCTTGTTTCTCTGCCGTGTGGGAGGTCTTCATTACTATTGACACATTAACCTCAAGCTGTCAGTTGCAGTCTGCTTAGTGCTGAAATGGCCCAGCCAAGAGGTAGCACATGAGAGGGCAAAGGCAGCCACTGCCAAATGAGGGGTAGATTGTTGGAACTACAACTTGAGAAGTAATGACACTTGGGGTTTTTTCAAGAACTACACACAAATGTGATTGTTATTATGCCCAGAAGTCCTCTCTCAGGGCCTGTGTTTATCACAGTAACTTGTCACTGTGCACCATGTTGGAGAGAGTAGTGAAGGGCGTCAGGTGCACTTGATTCTTTCTCCAAGCAGTACAGGAGCAGACCTCTCAGAGAAAGCTCACACTGTCCACAGCACTGGGAACCCAAGTAAAGGGGATTGTGATAGGGGCTCTGTCAGAATCCCTCCTCCCAGGCTTGGCCCACCCTGGAGCACCTGGTTTTACTATTTCCCCTGGTGTTAGGATCCTTTCCCGCACAGCCATGGCTTGGTTCTATTCCGAGTTTGTCTTCTTGGGGTCATGACTAATTAAATGTCTGTGTTATACATTCTTGAGCTTGCCTTCCTGCCAAGGATGAGGGAAATCTTCCACATATCAGGCTTTCAGTCCTCAGCAGAACAACCTCAGAGAAACAGGGCAGGAAGTCACTGATATGGGCATTGTGTAAGACACATGGTCATAGGCTGGCATATGGATGTGACATTCACATCTTGGAGGCTGTGGGTAGCAGACACTTGGCAGATGAGAGATTATGGGAGCTCGATGGGTAGACAGATGGATCAGTGAAGACTGGCTCTCAGAAGTGGCGGGTGGGAGTGCCTGGGGTCCTGGCAGCCCAGACCAGAACAGTGAGCACTGCATCACCCTGTCTCTGCAGCAACTGGGAGCCCAGAGGGCAGAAGCCTTTGTGAGCGCCTTCCTGAAGCGGAGCATGCCCCACATGAGCCAGCAGGCCTGTGAGAACCAGTTGCAGCGCAAAGCTGTTATTCTGGAGTACTTCACTCGCCGGAAGCGCAAGGAGAAGAAAAAAAAATCAAAAGGCCTCTCTGCCAGGGAGAGGAGAGATCTACAGCTCTTTGACATTAAACCAGAGCAACAGAGGTAAGCCCTGCCTTTCCTGTGCCTTCTTGCCCACAGTGGCTTACTCTTCTCATCTGGTGTAGGTTTGGGAGCCCAGTGGCTTAATAGGAAGCCTCTCCGTCCTTTGCCACAAGAGGGCAGCCTTCCTTTACCAATTCCTCATGTTTGGGTTTGCTTTCAATAGCAAGACATGATGATACTAAGGACTTATTATTTGGCTTCTGTCCTAGCCTTAACTAATAAGGCCATGCCATAAGTGAGTCTGTTGCCCTTGGCAACAGACTGTTTGTCTTTTGGCTTTCTCAGACTGAAAAGAGGAACTTATGGGATATCTATCTATCTATCTATATATATATATATATATCTGTAGCTTTTAATATCACTAGACAGAATCACCCACAGGGGTTTTATTGCCAAGGAAAGATGCTGCCTACACATTTCAGAAGTTTCTAAAAGGGATACATCACTCTTGTGGGAGGACATTTTCCATCCTCTGACTGACACTCCACCCTCCCTGGCAACAGTCTGAGTTTGCACATCTTGGGACTGTTGATAGCCTTTTCCTAAAGATGTATAGGCAAATAGCCTTCCACATTCCAGAAGACAAAGTATGTCACTTTGTCAGTGACACCTCTCACAAAATCAGCAGGGCTATAGACACAGAAAACACCTCTCCCTGTTCAGAGTGTCTCACTAGTAGCTTATTTGTTTCTCTAAGCTAGGACTTCATGTAAATGGATTCCCCATAAAGGACCAAAACAAGTGATAATGGCCCCAATATAAACCTTTGTGGTCCTGTCACCTGCTCCCTGTCATTCATTATTCTCCCCGAAGCCTGCTTGCTCACCTTCCAGAAAGACCTGTTACCTTAATAAGGAGCTACATGGCAACCAGCAGATCCTGTGGACTGAAAGTTTAAGTTCAGTTTTATGTAACAGAAAACCTCACTGTGTCAGTGGCTTAAATTCATTTCTTGCCCATGAACAGTGGCCTGGGTTAGTGAGGAAGACAGGCCCAAAGACATGAGGGATCCAAGCAGCAGATTACCACCGAGCTCAGCACAAAGTCTGAGATGACTGCTTGAGCTGTAGCTACCGTGGCCACATCTGGCCAGGGGGAAGCAACACAGGGCAGAGAAAGGCCCCTCCTCATTATTAGCAGAAACTTAACCTCACCCTCAGAAGGGTCTACCATGGAGGAAACCGAGGTTCAAAAGGTGAAGGCACCAGATTTTAGTCAGATTTGATTTTATTTATTTTTCCTGGTACCGAGGATCAAACTCAGGACCTTGTGCTTGCCAGACAGGCATAGCGCCACTGAGCTACATCCCTGGCAAGATTTTAGTCAGATTATCAGCAGTGAAAGTAGGATTTACACCCAGTCCCTAACTTTCCCAGGTCATCATTGTTGGCATCAAGAAAGCTCTGTACTATTTGGACATTGTAATGCCTTACCGATATTGCCTAACTTGTCACCTGTTTCTGGCTTTATCACAGGTATAATCTTTTTCTCCCTCTCCATGAACTCTGGAAACAGTACATCCGGGACCTGTGCAATGGCCTCAAGCCAGACACGTGAGTTGTGTTTCTGAAGCTTACCCATTGGGGTAGATCCTGGCTCTTAGGATCACTGTGTATGCATCCTCAGGAACCAGCCATCTGCACTCCTTGGGTACAGAAGTTTGTAGACATGTTTGCTTCATTCAGAACACTTCGTCATGGTGTAAATTAGGGCTTCTGTTTATCTCATAGGCAGCCACAGATGATTCAAGCCAAGCTGTTAAAGGCGGATCTTCATGGTGCTATTATTTCAGGTAATTTGCCTAAGAGCACTATCACCCAGTGGCAGTGTGGCACGTGTGTTGCTATATTACACATGTAGCAAAGTTTATTTGAAAAAGTAAAAGTGAAAAGTGAGGAAGAAACTGGCTCTGCAGAGCAAGCTTGGGCCAAGTAAAAGAGGAAAAAGCAAAATAAAAGGACACCCTGGAAAACACAAGGCAGGCTGCCATGAGGAAAGCCATGTTAGCAAGCTCTTCATGGCATCTGTGTCCTTTTATGCTGTCTAAATCTTGATGAAACCCTAGAGAACTTGTACATATGGGTCCCGAGAGGCAGTGCTGAGATCCCCCCTCAGGCTGACTTCAGGTCTAGGCCATCCTATTGAAAACCTGCTCAAGCTCTCAAGAAGTCCACATGCAGGGCTTTGGAAACTGTTCTGCCCACGTGTTCCAGGATCTTGTAGTTAACGAGTCACACCTACTTTCCCAGGCAGCTGTGCCATGCCATAGTCTCCTGTCTCATTTCCCCCTGAGGGACGTGTATCCTCATAGTTCTTTATGGGGTGCTGAAGGAGTGGAGGTCTTTCTTCTATAGCATCTTCGAGCTGGAAGAGGTTAGAGGCCCTACCTCCTGGGGATTATGTGCTCTGCGACTACCTTCCGTGCTGTGCCTCCCCATGTGGGTTTCTTAAGGTCTCTGCAGATCATTAGCACTGAGGGCTGGAGGTGGTTACAGCCTTCTTGGCCCATTCTGCCCTTTGATGGACACACTTCAGCAGTCTTTGTGCGCCTTCTGCACAATCTGAACACAATCCCTGTCATCTACTCCGCTGGTTTTCAGTGTCCGCTGTGATGAACAGCTCTCCAGTTGCCATCTCCTGAATGCCAGGCTCATTCTCCTAACTAGCTTCTGCACATGGCCACCTGGAAGTCCAGTAGGTAGGCACCTCGGACTGTATATCCAAAACAGAACTCTTGGTCTCCCCTCAAGCCAGCCCCTCACCCGGCCTTCTCCATTTCTTAATGGAAACACTATTTACTTTGTCCAGGCCAAAAATCTAGACATTCCTTCTTTCTTAATCCCCACCTCTAATCTGCTAGCACATCCTAGTACCCAAATCTAAACCAGCATCTTCTCCCCAGATTTCTTGAGAGAACACCTAATCCTTTCTTGTCTGGTACATTTCCCCCAACCTGAACCAAACAAGCAGAATGGATGCTTTATGACAGAAATCAGATCATGTCCCTTCCCTACTTTAAACCTTCTGGCAGTTTTCCATCCTGTTAAAATAAAATTCTGCCTAAGGTCTAAAAGGCCTCTTCAGTGTCCTTGGGCAGCAGGTCTAGCCATACTGGCCTTTTTGCTTCTGTCACACCAGGCTTCACCCTGCCTCAGAACCTTTACATTTGCTCTTCCCTCTGCCCAGAGAGTTCTCCTGTTTGTTCATACACTGGTCTCTTCTCAGATGTCACTTCCTCAGAGTTTACCATCACTACAGGTGACCTCTCCACCGTCCTTACTCCACCCTTATTTTTCTTAGCACTCCTCACTGTCAGGAAATGTAACTGTCTTTGGTTTGCCACACATTGTCCCTCCCCTGTTGCAACATAGCTCCATGCAGTAGTGTGCCCCCAGCACCTACCTCAGACAGTGCTGGTGTGTAGCAGGTGCTCAGGGAATGTCTGTTGACTGCATCAAGGGCAGGGCTCGGGACAGATGAAGGGCCTGCTGCCTGTGACTGGCTAATCTCATATCACTGTCTTCAGGGCACCTCTGAGCCCGATTCCCATTTAGCCAGAGCTCAGGAGGCCCTGGGTAGCTCGTGATGGCCAGGTGTTTACTCAGACCTGCAGACAACACTTGGTTCCTTCAGAGCAGCCAAACTGTGGGCCTTGGTAGTGCTGAATGCATGTGTAACCTGTGTCTCCAGATCACTGCCTAAGATCCCAGTAGTCACAGGCCCCCAGAGGACAGCTGTCAGAACAGCCCAGACACTACCCAGCTTTGCCCTGCCCAACCAGCCTCTACCCTCGGGGTATTTTCTTTCTTCTGCTAGCCCAGAAGGAGGGACCAATGTCCCCAGCCCCTAAGATCCGCCTGTCTTTGGCTCCCCAAGGTCTCGGAGGCCGGAGCCTTCAGCTGCCTTTCTCTTTTGCAGTCACAAAGTCCAAATGCCCCTCATACGTGGGTGTAACGGGAATCCTTCTACAGGAGACAAAGCATGTTTTCAAAATCATCACCAAAGAAGATCGCCTGAAAGGTAAGTACTCATGTCTCTGGGGGCATCACAGGCCAGCCACCCCAGCTGCTACTTTATCCCTTTCCTTGAGGCTCCAAGAGTCCAGAGTCAATATACACTGCATATACTTAGTGTTTTGTTTTGTTTTCTATTGTCTGATGTGTTTGCTTGTTGTTTTGTTTTCTTTTTTTGTTTTGTTTTATTTTTGAGATAAGCTCTTGCTATGTATTCCAGGCTGACCTTGAACTCACTGTGTAGCCCAGGCTGGCCTCAGACTTGCGGAAGTCCTCCTGCTTCAGCCTCCTGAGTGCTAGGATTGCAGACATAATGTCACTATGCCCAGCTTTGCAGATACATACTGACTCTAAGATCCAAGCCTGCTGAGACCACCCCTGGCCCCTTGGCTCTCCCCAGAGGCATTTGTGAGCAGAGCTGGCAGCCTCAGCCAGAACAGTCAGGGAAGGGAGAGCTGCTTGCATGGACCTCAGGGAACTGGGTCTGTTTGGGCCCTCTACTTGTCAGAGCCTGCTGCCTCCAAAAGGAGTATAACTAAGTAGATAACAGGGAGGAAACAGAGTAGGGCCTGACCCTGGAGTTCTGAGAACCGCACTCTGTGGCTCACATTGCTTGAGCAGATACTTTGGGTCATCTGCGATTTCTGTACCCCATCTTGCCCACAAATCAGGGCCTTCTAACCAAGTTGGAGGGTCTTAAGAACCACCACCACCCCCTTTCGTGTTGGTGGTGGTGGGGATGCTTGGGGTCGAACCTAGGACCTGGTGCATGGTATGTGTTCTACGACTGAACTATGCCCTAGTCCCTGTTCCTTTAATTTTGGAGCTTGGTTTATCTTGCTTCTTCCTTCCATTTTCCTGAGTATTCTTCGGCTCACATTGCAAACCTCAGAAAGTGGTGTGAAAGTTCCCCGCTGAGCATAAGGCCAAAAGCCGGGCTGAAAGTTATGTGGGAAAACCTTTTTTTTTTTCCTCTCAGTACTGGGGATCGAACTCAGGACCTTGCCCTTGGGAGGCAAGCGGCAGCACCACTGAGCTAAATCCCTGGACCTGGGAAAACCTATTTCTGCAGTGCTTCTGGGAGCCTCTGATTCTGGGAGTTTGTTTCATAGCTTTTGACCCAGAAAATGAGGTGTTACATTATATTTATTTTATTTATTTATTTTTTACATTATATTTAGAATGTGAATCAGGTGCCCTGATGACAGAGTAACTACACATAATCCTGTGCTATCACCTTTGTGGGTTTCCCCATTTCCTAATGGCTTCTTTTTTAAATATAAACATTTTATAAATAACATTCTACCTAGAAATTAACTTACTGCTTGAAGTTTTCCTCATTCTTATTCTCCACCATTTTTTTTTCCAGTTATCCCCAAGCTAAATTGTGTGTTTGCTATAGAAATCGATGACTTTATTTCCTACATTTATGGGAGTAAATTCCAGCTTCGGTCAAGTGAGAGGTCTGCCAAGAAGTTCAAAGGAAAAGGAACAATTGACCTGTGACTTCTTTGCCACCTAAGCCACCTGTTTATGGCACATGGAAATTGGAAACACTCGAAGTACCCATGCTTCAGTGGCGAGATTCCACTTATAGACAGCTCCAGCCAGTGGAAATCAAAGCCAAGGACGTTGAATAGCACAGGAAGATGTGACCTTCATTTTTGTAATGCTCCTGTGGAGAGACAAGACAGCCAGAATCTGCACCAGGATTAACTCTGGTTGTCTTGAAGAGCAAGACTCTTAGGTTATTTCTTTTTTGTAATCTGAGTTTTCTGAATGTTCTATGATAAATCAGTTATTCTTTCACTGATAAATTGCACACGTAAACTGGAAATAAAGGAACTGTTGCTGTAGTCCAGCTGGGTTGAAAGAAAAGGGGAGCCCCAAGATCATGCTTTTCACTTGCCCCAGCCATGAGCGGCTGCCCTGTGCAGTGGTAGAGTGGTAGAGAAAATGTAACACATTTTCAAGCGTGCCTGCCACCAAGCTGAGCTAACCAAGGTCCACTTTGCTAAAGTTCAGCAGGAGTGAATGATGAAATTGCTCAGTGACTTAGGGCTCACTCAGTTGAGGAACTAGAATTGGGGTGGACCGTGGAGGCAGAACATCGGGTCTGCATGTGCTTAGTAGTGGTTGACCTGGTACAGGTAGACTAAGGCATAGACAGCATTCTCCCTCCTGACTCCCTTAGCTCTAGAGGTATGGCCACTGTTTCTCTTTCCACAGTCTAACCTGCTCGGAATGCCAGAGTCCCCAAACATGGCCCATTTTGACACCTTTGGTCTGTTCTTATTGCCGAGAAAACTGGCTTTTCAGCCTGGCTCTACCCTAACAATTATCGATAAGGCCACTCGATGAGGTCCTTCTATGCAGCATCAGGCTGGAGCCAGAGTGAGAACAGGGTGGGAACAGCCTTCCAGGTTGCTGTTAGGAAAGCCAGATGTGCAGAAACACAGCTCGGAAGGACCTGTCACCTCTTCCCTTTAAGAGCCAATGTGTGCCGACTGACAAAGTGTCACTGCTAGTGACAGAAAATCATGTGCCTTTCTCAGACCAGGAGAAGCAGCAATGACAGTCCTGACTTTCTCAGTATTTTCCCCTCAAACTCCACACTGGAGGAAAAACAATGGTAAAGGGAAGTGTAAACACTTCCTTTATGACAGGAGAGCAGGAAGGCCTCATTCTGTGCCACTGCACATCCCAAAGGCACCGAGTGCACCCAAGTGCCACAGGAACCAGCCCAGCAGCTTGGCCCTCCTCCTTTCCCTGCTCACTGGGACGTTGGTGAGGCCGCCCAGGTGCTCCCACCGTTAGCACTATCATTGCCGCCTGAGGTGCAGAGCCCACACGGGCAGGCGTAAGTCCCAGCACCAGCCTGAACAGGGAAAGCTGGCCTGACAACTGCATTTTGTGATCACTTGCCCAAGGCCTTACTGCCTGTAAAGGAAGAGCCAGGATTTGAACCCAGTAGTCTGGCTCCAGCACTGGGCTTTTCACTTCAGAGTGGCTGCAGGGATGAGAAAGAGACTGTGCTAAAGTACTTAACATACTTCCTTTATCACCTGGTCTGCTAAGAAAGTCTACATCTACAATGTACTGTAGCTTCAGTTCCAAGTATCTGAAGTGCCACATTTGTAGCAGCATAGGTGGTATAACTTCCTGAGCAGCCTACTCATACCCACCCTCTGCAGTGTAAAAGGCATCAAATGTTGTGTAAATACACAGTTGCTTTCCAGAAAAGTTGTTGGTACCATTTGCCATGTGAAATCTGTTTTTCATTTGGCGCAGACTCAAGTTGCTGTGTGAGTGGCTGTGTAATTTGTAGACTTCTCTCCCCTTCCCAGAGGCTTGGTGAGAATGCTCACCTACCACATAGCTGCTGCCGTGCAAGCCTATTTGCAGAAGGCACTTTTGTCTCCACACCAACCTCCTAGGGAGCAGAAGGAGAGGGGAGGCCCAGGCCAGCAGGGCTCCGGCCCTGATGTGGCTGTGCTAACTGCTACACAGCAGGGCCATAGATCAGGAGTGGCTGAGTCCCCACAGGCTATGGCCTGGGCTCATCATGGAGAGCACTGTGGTACTGGGTGATCTGATCTGTCTTCACTCAAGAACCAGGACTACCTTAGCTGAAGCCTTGGACATGCAGACCTGTGTGTGACAGCTCAATCAGCCTCGTGTAAACTGCACCAGAGATACCTGTGCCCCAGAGAAAGTGGTTAACACCTCAGGAGGCTGCTGGCCTGGGAGATGTCAGCCCCAGAACCCACTGTTCTCTCAGCAGGCCTGATGGCCCCTTTTCAGTTGCCAGGGCTGACTGGAGGATTCAGCTGCTGCACAGAGCTCACAGGGTACAAGCCAGAGCCTCTGGGGGAGGAGGATGAAGCACCCGGAGGGGAAAGTGAGGGCGGTGTGTGTGGGCCATGGCCCTTGTAAAAGTCAGCTCGAGCCTCCATGAGTAAACACCAGACTGGAGCTAAAACAGCAGATTTATTCTCTTCTCAGAAATCCAAGAGGATGGTGCTGTCAAGAGTTGGGTACTGGTGAGGCCTCTTCTGGCTTCTGCCTTCTCTCTGGATCCTCACTGTCCTACATGTGCAAGGACAGAGATGCCTTTATAAGGACACTGATGCTACCATGTTAGGGCCCTACCCTGTGAATCCATTTAACCTTAATTACTTCCTTAAAACTCCATCTCCAAATACAGTATCGTCATATTGGAGGTTAGGGTCAATATATGAATAGGCAGGGGACTGGAGGGGATATGTACACAAATCTATCCATAGCAGCCAGGAAGTTTTCCCAACTAGGACACTGGTTGTACTTCCCAGGAAGGCTCCAATACCACCCTGGCCCCTGTCCTCAGACACTCGCCTGGACTTCCCAGCCCAACATTTGGGGTGCTTGGACCACTAGCCAGTTCAGCCAACCCAATGCTTAGCCACCATTTCCACGGGATTTCATGACTTGCTTATATAGGAACCTAGGTCCAGGATTGCTTAGGTTCCTTTTGATCTTTACAAACAGCTGAACTCAACCTCCTTCTCCTGCCCATTGGGGCCACTGGGCAATCTGGTTGAGGGAGGAGATGTATAAGCAAGTGGGAAGGGCTAGCAGAGGAGGCCCCTTGGGAGGAAGTGGCTCCAGATCTAGGAAACTGGGGGGATATGAAGAACGTAGTCACCCAGGTATAGGGCAGGAGCCTATAGAGTCATCATGGAGGACCCAGGAAGTCAGAGGATGGTTTGTGAGGGTCTGCCCAAATGACTAAGGGCCAGGTAGGAGAAGAGGTGGGAAAGGGATGTGCTGCCAGTCTCATCTCCATGGGAGATAGCTGAGGAGCTTCCACATCAGAATCAGCAGGCTACATGTCCAAAACAGCCTGATCCTGGCCTGCAACTCAGGCCTGCTGAGTCAGACACCAGGGCAGAACCCAGAAAGCTGTGTGTTTATGTAAGATCCCAGCTGTTTCCTCAGTCACTAGTATTTGAGGACAGTAGACCAGAGATAATATCCAACATCTCTCCCAGCTCTGACGTCTGGATTGTAATTTAAGATTTGGGATTCTTGGGCCAGTATTTTCTGGATGCTGGAAAAGGTCACCAAGTGACTGATCTCTCAGGTTCTGAAAAGTAAACATGAACATTTTTCCAAAGCCATAAATTATGGTAAAAAGCTTTCTTTCTGGACAATGGCTTTAGCATTAATTTAGTTTGCATTTCTTAGCTATAATGCCTCATTAAGACATCTGTTAAATGTCTATAATATTAATTTAATAGAGGGGGTTCTAATAGAACCGTATTGGAATTATCCATTTAATTAACCTCATGGGCCTTTAATGGATGTCTTAAATAGACATCATTAACAAGAGTGCTAGACAAATTGAAATTAGAGTCAATAACATTCTTGGTAATTTTTCTTGAGCTGTGAAGGACGAGCACTGCTAAGCAGACAGGCACAGAGAAGGGCTGCACGCGGAGAAGTGTCAGAGCTGCCGTCCCCGGGGCATCCCCAGGGGATAGGCCTCGAGTGGGGTCCACCATTCTACGTCCCTGTTAGCTTTGCCCAAAGAAGATGATACTCTGGCCGTAGGAAGCACCTCTCAGGAGAAAGACCTGCCCCTCCATACAACCTGTACAGAAAAGCTTTTCTCTCCTGGCCCATCACACTGAGCTGAGTGAGAAACGGGTGGTGAGAGGAAGATAAAGGAGGACATAGGAACTCACCCCTAGATTTACGGATCACGGATCAAGGTGTGTTACCGTAGGTCAGGTGAGACAGAACAAATGAGGATAGGGTGGGATTGGGAAGGGCGGGTGAGCAGAGTGGGGTGAGACAGGATGAAATGGAACATTACTACATCACTCTGCTTCCGTGCCTCACTGAACGGTTCTCACTCAAATGATGCATTTTTCCAGAGTCAGTTTCCATTTTTTTCTCATCTGACCTCTCTCATTGACACAGTTAGCCATTCCTCCCTCCTGAAACATCTCTGTATCCCCATGCTTCTGACTCTCCCACTTCCCTGACCTCTCCTAGTGTCCTGCAATGGACCCTCCTCTTCCAAACTCTACATGTGGGGACACCCCTGAGCATCATCTTTGGACTTCTGTTCCACAGCAGTGGATTCCACGACTCCAGATATACTTCCGATCTCAAAATCATACTGTGGACCAGAACCCAATGTGTATCTCTGTTTATTGTCTTCCTCCACCCAATTGGAATATATGCTCCTTAAGGACAATGATTTTGTTTTGATAGCTGCTGTATTCTCCTCAGTTATTTAGAAGCATATCTGACCTGTGATGGGTACTTAAACAATATGCATAAAGAGAATGCATAAACTTTCCCCTTGATATCTCTACCCGGGTATCTAATAGCTATCCTGACCTGATAGGATGCATTTGGAGTTCTTGACTTTGCACTGCAAATCCACTCGCCCCCTCAGTCAATGGCTCTGTAACTTGAGGATCTGAGGAGTCATCCTTAATACCTTTCTTGCAATGGCACCCCCTGTCCAATCTTGCATGAAGCCCAGCCCTTCTCCCAGTTCCCCTGCTGCAGCCCTCGTCCACCCCTACTATCACCCCAGTCCCGGCCACATCCCCCATCGGTCTCCCTGTTTCCAGCTCAGCCACCCTGATTCAGATTGTGCCATCCTCTGCTTAAAACCCACATGCAACTTCCTACTCACTTAGGTTAAATCCTGCTCCTGACCCTCACACTCTGCCTACTCCTCCAGCCAGTCTCAGCCCACCTCCCCCAAGTCCTGCCCCAGCCCTTTTCTGTGCCGCCGCTCCACTCTGTGCAGCTGCATCACCTTTCCTTCTTTTCGAGACTTTCTTCTCCTGGACCT